AGTTTATTTATTTAAAAAATTATAGCTTAAGCATATAATATTTTCTGTATCTTTCATAATTACATCACATAATTATGTTTCTTGTATAAGATATATGCATTAGTACATATATATAATATATATATATAACAAGTGTTTTATTTTAAACTAGAGAGCGAATAAAAAATATTTCAAGAAATGCAAGTTATGCAATTTCCACTGAAAATCCTCACGGTAGCAGGATGCCGGCCACCAGTTTCCTGGTCTTCATTATGGAAACGCACAATGTATAATATATATACAGTTTTTGTGTGCTTGCTATTGCTCACTTTCATGTTGCCACAACTCATGGATATTATCTTGAATGTTAATAATGCGGACGATTTCACGGATACTTTTTATATAATGCTAGCCATGGTCATCGCTTGCTGCAAGATGCTCAGTCTATTGCTAAATCGTAAGAATATCGAGATATTAACTGACGCATTGATTGAAAAACCATTTAGACCTTTGGAACCAGATGAAATTGAGATTCGACAAAAATATAATAACATAATACGGTAAGGAATTGCTTCCATTTAAAGAATAAAAAGATCCGCATATTTTAATTTTATTGTCTCTGTTTACATTAGAGAGAGTTTCTAAAATATCTTAGCGTACATATTTATATAATTATTTTGCATTTTTTAAATTTAATTGACAAAAAACGGCAAATACAAGATACGATTTCTATTAATAAAATAAACAATAAATAAACAAAATCTTTTTGTTATTTTATGAAAGAAGTAGGAAATATATTTTTTCTTTCTTTTTAATTAAAGGAGAAAAATACAAAACAAAATCATCATGAATTAATTCAGCCTCCATAGTCATTTGCAGGACTAATTCTATAATCTACACGGTTCTTATTGAGACAACCTGTGGCTGCATGAATTTAACATCTTTGCTTACGGATTTCCGGCAAGGAAATTTAGCGTATAGAGAATGGATACTTTTCGAATGGTCCGATACAGTGTATTATTTCACATACTTTCGTCAATTATTGAGCTTAACGGCTGCATCGATCGTGAATGTTGCTTGCGATATAATGATTTGTGGATTGCTGCTACATATTTACTGCCAAATCGAGATCTTAGAGTGCCGTGTGAGAAAATCCTTATGCAATCGAGGCGACTTGGGTGAATGTGTACGTCAGCACAATTATATCTACAAGTCAGTCTTTGTATAGAATTTTATATGTTTAAATGTTTCTCTTAATCAATCTTCGGATACCGAGCACCAACATAGTGCGCGCGCGCGCACAAATACGTATACACAGAGCTTTTTACTCGCAATCATGCGCGTTTGAATGTTAAATTTTGTTTATTAATTGGACAACAATTGTTTAACTCAATTCAAAATATCGTAATATTTGATTAGTTATGAGCAGTAATAATGATTTCAAGGATAATAATATTATTTTTCTTCTTTCTAGATTTGCATACACGATAAATGCAAAGTTCAGAATTATAATTGCCGTTCAATTCATCGCAAGTATGCTAGTAGTATGTTCCAATCTTTATCGATTAGCGAAAACCACATTAAGTTCAAAATATATTCCACTGATGTTATACACAATCTGTATGTGTTTGCAAATTCTTATTTATTGTTGGTGCGGGAACGAAGTGAAATTAAAGGTACTAATTTTATACACACACACACACACACACACACACACACACACACACACACACACACACACACACACACACACACACACACACACACACACACACACAGATATATATATATATCGAATCTGATCTATAAAAAAATGTTGGCAAAATCCCAGCATCACATCAAAAGTAGAATAAGAAACATAATTTTAAATTTAAATTTAACATTTATATTAATATATTAAATATTACTTATAATTGCAATAAGGAATATTACATATGTAACTATATTTTTCTGATAACTTCTATTGTAGAGCATTCAATTTTCGGATGAAATTTTCGGAATGGCTTGGATAACAGCACATCAAGAAGTGAGAGAAAACCTTATAATGATTATGAATCGCTCTCTGATACCAATCGAATTTTCTAGTGCCCATATTCTTACGGTGAATCTAGATTCATTCGTGAAGGTTAGAAATAAATTTTTTACTACTGCAAAGTTGCGCGGCACATGATATTTGTTTTCTTGTTGAATTGCTAGATGGATTAAATTCTTGTCATCGTATTGTCTGCGATGCTGATTCTGTCAGTATTACAGCCGATACAATAGCAAGAATCTAATTTAGCTAAGAATTCAGCGTCTTTTGCCTCCGGCTTATTAAGAAACAATTGAGTTAAAAAATGTAAATATTGATATATTCTTTAGCTTCTTAAGATGTCATATTCAGTATATAATATACTTAAACAAACAAAAGAAGAATAGTGATAATGGCTAAGGAAGGATAAAAAGTATTTAAAATATAAGTACCAAGGAACATTAAGTGTAAAAATGTCTGCGATAGTAATCGTAGTTTCTTGCGCAATTGCAAGTCTCAAAATTACGTATATAAATAAACATGTTTTACTTATCTGTATTTTTTTGTGTTACGCCTTTTATCTGTTTTTTATCATAAAAATTGAAGACTATTATTAAATGTACTCAAATATATATAGAGTTAGATTTCATAAATATTTAAAAAATTTGAAGTATATATTATACGATAAGAAAATTACAAGATACAAAAAATTAAGATCTTCAAAGAAACATATTTATACAATGTGTCTGATACTGATAAATAAATATAGAACATTTTAACAATTTTAACTTCTCTCAAAAGTGACTTTATTATCGTAAAATATGATTTCAAGATGTATTATGATATTTATAAACCTACGATACAATTCTTTGATAGGACTTTCGCTGACGATATTTTCTGTCTTTTCTTCTACACATTTAATATCTAAATCTTTGAAATAAAGTTTTAACAGAATCTCTTTCTCTCTCTCTCTCTCTCTCTCTCTCTCTCTCTCTCTCTCTATATATATATATATATATATATATATATATTTTTTTTTTTTCTTCTGATCAAACACTATTATGCACATTATGAAATTGAAATGTACAATTTTTATGATCGCTATTTCCAACCGTAATCATGGAGACATTTTTGTTCAAACTGATAATTTACAATATTTACAGATTAGATGTAATTAGCATTAATTAATATATTATATATTATCACACAAATAATAATATGGCCTTTGTGATGAACGTTAATGATCCTAACGACTTTACTAATTATTTGAATTGTATGATGTTAAATATTTTGAGTGTCATAAAATTTTTATCATCTCGTCAAATTTCAAAAGCGTTGCTACATTAGTTAATTATCATATTAAAAAAAACTTAAACTATTAAATTTGAATGTAACTTTTGTTTTGAAATAATTTTATTTTTTAACTATGTAATGTAACTGATGTGAGAGTTAAATATAAGGTTTTTCTAAACTAACGAAACCGTGAAGTCATATATTTATAAGAATATATATGTATATAACTTAATTATATGTATACACGTATGACTTCGTTGTTATAGAAAATTTTTGTATGAAAATAGCAGCTTATTATGTTGGCTCATTATGGCGCATAAGACACTACAGACAAAAGATTCCCTAAGAACCTGAAATAAAAAAAAAATTCTGTTAGTAAAAGCGATTCTGTATGACGTTTTTACATGATGATAATGAATATTGAATAGGAATCGATAAGTGGAAAAAACATCGTCTATAGATATAGACAATATTTATATTTATTTATGGAAATTTTAAAGTTATTAGTATCGTAAATACCGTCATCATTCGATCGAAATTTGATTGTAATTTTTCTACAGAATTCTCGCAAATTTATTTAATAAGATATACACACATTGTAAAATTAAGAAATCCTAGGGAAATGAGGAATAAATTATTTCGTTTATTACCTCTATCTAATTCAAATATTATTCAATGTGTCAGTATTTACATTGCAAAAATAAATAAATTGAGGCTATCTTGCTTTCCGTGTTTATACTTAATAAAAAATGCATACAGATACCGAGAAAAAGACGTAGGGAACGCCAGACTGAGGAAGACTGAAGTTGTCGCAGACAGTGACAATGAATAAAATATTTTATAATGGACGAGTACAACAATGTATCAAAATTTCATACGTCTAAACTCTTCTTGTCAACAACTTATATTGCTATATATAGATATAAGAATGAAATTCTCATGAAAACATCAATTTACAGAAAACATAAGTTTGCTATTACGATGTTACATATTCGAGGGGAAAATTCAGTAAAAATATCGTGAACTATAGACGCTTTAAAATCCATATCTCTTCAGCTAATCCGTGATTGACGACAATAACACGCAACACAAATACCAAAGGAGCACACTTCAAACGTTATAATACAAATTACATAGTTGATCATGTGTTGTATATATCAGATTAATGCAATTGTGGATATTTTTTAAATAAAGAAGCATTTTCTACGTTCAGATATTTAGAGATATTTTATTTGAAGGATATGAGCTCGCTAAAATTCATATTCGCAATTCTTACAATCGCTGGATGCTGGCGACCGTTCTCGTGGACTTCTCTTATCAAACATGCATTATATGACGCCTATACATTATTAGTAATTAGTGTCATGTACAGCTTTACATTCTCACAATTTATGGATGTTATCCTGAACGTTGATAATCCAGATGATTTTACTAATACTCTATACACAATGTTGACTATGTTCGCTGCAAACTATAAAATACTCAATCTGTTTGTGAATCACGAGAGTTTCGCGAAGTTAATACAAAATCTTACGGAAGGAACATTTAAACCACTGCTACTTGTTGAAATTGAAATTCAACGAAAATTCGACAAGATAATACAGTGAGTACAAACAAATTTTATCTTGATTTACATTTTATTTAATTTATAAGTAGCGACTATTTGAAAAACTAATAAAGTTTTGGAAAGTACTAATTATTATATTAATTTTTTAAATATGGAATATCATTAAGGAAATTAAAAAAAATTAAAATATTGAAACATTCTTCTCCGAAGATGTTTGCCACATTTTAATATTATTAATTATAAATATTATATGTATGTATGATTTAATTATTTGTATATTTATATTTATTTATATATTTTTTATAAATTTTATATATAGAGGCAGAAGAATATTTTTCAATTAACTCTAAATAATCACACTTCGTGAAAATTAAGTAATGATTACACGAGGTCAACAAAATGGCTGTCACAACTTTATTTATATAGATATAGGAAAAAAAATTAGGGACATTTTTTTAAAATATATATTCACATTGATTTTTTGCTGAATTCATTATTTTAAAATAGTCAAAAAAATTCATAAATGAAAATCTAGTGAAAAATGATTTTTTTAAATTAAAAAGTCAACTTTTTTATTTTTTCATATTTTTGAATAAAATTTTAGAAATAAAGTTTTCAGATGCTGCATTTCGATAAAAAAGTTATTGCAATAGCGGGCGTTTCAAAAAAAGTATTTATTTTGAAGATTGATTGGGGTTTAAAAAACAAATTATCTAATGGGTTTCATTAACGTATTTTACGTGTGCCAACCGCATGGTAATGTAGTTAGAGACTCAAACTACTGATAGAACATTAGGTGTTATTTCGAAATTTAAGTTGATGAAAATTTAGTCCAAACTTTTGATGGGGTCATAGTGATTTCCAGTGATTTAGGAGATTAAAAGATAAATAATTTTTGTTCTTGAATAAAGGCAAAATTATTTTTTTAGGAACATCGCAAAGTGCTATACAATACTGATTATAATCACTTATACAGGCCATGTTTTGATATCGTTACTGACAAATTTCAAAAAGAGGCAGTTAACATTTAGAGGATGGATACCATATAATTATTCGTCATTCATGCTATTTTGTCTCACATACGTTCATCAATATATAGGCGTGATATTCGCGTGTCTTGTTAGCGTTGCTTGTGACAGTCTCATTGTTGGTTTGTTATTGCATGTGTGCTGTCAAATTACGATCTTACAGTATCGTTTGAAAAGTCTTATAAATGGTCAGAATACTCTACGTGATTGTGTACGCCAACATCATCACATAATCAAGTTAGTCTTGTAAACATTTTATTAGACTTAACGTACAATATTTAATAAGTAATTGTAAATTTAGTAATATAATACTCAAATTTTTTATTTTTCTTTATTAATATATTTTTAAATCCTAAAAGTTGGATTTTTTTATTATAACATTATTTCTATTCATTCTATTTATTATTATAGTTATGCAATATATTCATATTTGTCTTTAAATTGCGATATTGAATTTATTATCTTAATATTTTATGTCTTCTATTGACTATTAATATTAAATATTACATGATAGCTATTTTTTATGTATTCTAATTTTTTCAAGATATTTAATTTTAATTCTTGGGATAAAAATATTTTCTTTACAGATTCGCATATGCAACTAATAAAAGATTCACGAGGACAATCGCATTTCAATTCGTAGCAAGTACATTCGTAGTCTGTTCAAATTTGTACCAATTAACTAGAACTAAATTAATTGTAGATTTTATTGCGTTTTTTGCATATACATTGTGCATACTTGTACAAATTTTCATTTATTGTTGGTTTGGAAATAAACTGAAACTGATGGTATGCATACTAATATTATCGAATTTGAAATTATTATGTACATGTACATATATACATATGTACATAAACATGTGTATTATGTGTACTATATGTATCTATACATATACAGGGAGGAACATTTAAAACAGATCCTAAATAACTCGCTTGTTTTTAACAATAGAAGAAAAAGTGTCAAACAAAAGTTGCTTGGTTTCGGGGCACATAATGTGATGATCAATAATTGTTTTGTAGGTGGAGGCATAAACGATAGGCAAATGTCAAATCTGTTTTTTTAAATGGAATGATATGTGTTTTACTTACATTCTGATAGAATATTTTAAAATGAATATAATAACCTATTAATTAAAGGTCATTCAAGATTACTCAAGGTCAATAATGGAAAGTAATTGAACGTGAATTAGTTGATGAAGTATTCTACAAATACTCCATTCTAACAAATTTCATATTCCTCTTCTATATCTTATTTCATCAAGAGTTATGGCAATGATTTTCAAAATCGTGTACAATTCTGTAAATGATCACTACAAGAAGATGATATGTTTGTTACTAAAATCTTATTTATTAACGAAGCTACTTTTATAAACAATGGACAAGTGAATCTTCGCAACATGCACTTGGTCAGTAGAAAATCCACATTAGATGAGAGAAGTGGACAGGCAGAGACCTTAGTTTATAAACGTCTGGGCCGGAATTCTTAATGATAAAATAATTGATCCCCATTTTATCGAAACATTAAATAGTCATAAGTATACACAGATTTTGACAGAAATATTGCCATTATTAGAAGATTATTAGAAGATCTTCCACTGAACATACGACAATCAATATGATATTAGCAAGATGGATGTCCTGCTCATTTTGCACGGATTATTACTGAATTATTAAAAAAAATTTGGAAATCGTTGGATTGGTCGGACAGGAAATAACAGATGGGACGTTCCCCAGATTTAACACCTATGGATGACACCTATGGATTTTTATTTGTGGGAAAAATTAGAACAACAAGTGTACAGCGCCGATAACAAGAGAAGACACGAAGCAGCATATAAGAAGAGCTTACATTGCGATTGATCTGAATGAAATTCATCGTGCAGTCTTATCTGTATTGACACGTTTTAGAAAATGCATCGTTCAGAATCATCATTTTGAACACTTACACTGTAATAGTAAGTACGCAAATAAATAAATTATGAAATATTCGAAAAATCAAATAATTCTTCAAACAATTTATTTTCAATTGCAGCTAATCTTGTTATGTTTAAATAACTTCAATGTTTATTTACATATCGTGATACATTTGAACGATTAAGCGGTATACATAATAAGAAGAAAAGACACGAAATTGTTCGAAGAGTGTCTCGAAACAATTTATTTTCCATTCAATTATTTTCCATTATTGACCTTGCGTAATCTTGAATGACCTTCAATTATAATTTCATCTTAAAATGCTGTATCAGAATGTAAATAAAAAAATATATCTATTTAAAAAACCAGATTTGACCTTTGCCTATCCTTTACGCCTCCACCTACAAGAACAATTATTGACACATGTGCTCCTCAAAATCAAGCAACTTTTGTTTGACACTTTTTCTTCTATCGTTAAAAACAAGCAAATTATTCAGGTGATCTGTTTTAAATGCTCCTCTTTGTATTAATTATCGTACATATTTTTTATTAAGAGCTTAGAAGTAAAACATGTAATATATTAAAATATGTTATAAATATATAGAGCCTTCAACTAGTCGATAGTATTTTCGAAATAGACTGGATAGCATTGGACCTTAAAACTAAAAAAAGTCTTTTGGTAATTATGACTTGCGCAATGAAACCTATTGAATTTAACAGTGCATACATTCTTAACATGAATTTAGACTCTTTTGTAGCGGTGAGTATAAAGTATAAAAATTTCGTCGCGTATTATGAAGTATAGATTTTTTTGTGCTTATTCAATTTTTTGATGACTCTCATCAAATTCACTCTCTCATTTTTGCTTTCGTTCAATCTTTTATTTTATCTTTTGCTCTTTTCCTTAGCCATTAAGTAAAAGAAATTTCCAATCACATACTTTAATTTAAGTATTTCAAAAAGTGGATCAACTATAGTCATTATAATAAAATTTCTATCTTTTTTACCTCGTGATAAAACTTTTTTTAAAGTAATATTTTCAAGAAAATATTTTTTATCACATATATGCATATTACAAGTAAAACCATAATGAGTAATTATGAACAAGAATCAATAATTTAAAAAATAATAAAAAAATAAATTTTGAATTATTTTTTTAATGATTTTGAAATTTAAATATAATTTGAAATTTAAAATCATTGCAGTTGCTTAAAACATCATATTCTGCTTATAATTTACTATCCCAAGTACAGGAATAATAATATAAAAGCAAATAAAAAGTTGCTAATATTATTCATTAATGCATAATTTTCATTATAATGCATTAGTATTAGATGTATTCTAAATAGTAATAAATATTAAATATTTTTAACTGTATAAAGGTGTAAATAATTATTATTTTTCTAATTAAGATTCAAAATAACATAATAGTGTCTGCTTTTTTAATAATCTTTTTGTATTTTATAGCAGAATATACAAAACTATGTAACACAATGTGAAACATTTAATTTTGAATAATATTTTTATATTTTTATGTACAGGACAATAGTGAAAGAAAGAATTTAATAAAAAAAAATGTATATATTTTTTATTCTAAATAGAATAAAACTTACACCATTATCACTTAATTATATCATTGTAAATATGAAAAATATTATGTCATAGAAATTTAGATATTATTAAAATTTTTAAATTTCTCTTGTCTGACAATATATAGTCTTACAAATGCGTTTCTCGAATATATTACTCCGTCGTTTGGTTATAATGCGTAGAAGTCAACACTGGATGATACATCATATTCTAGACGCGAACGATAATAAACAAAATATTGTCATCAATACTGTATAAATAGCATATATCAAGATATTATGAAGATTACCTGTATCTCATATCATATTGATTGCAGAGTAGAGTTAATTCTCCCGTTTCTTTCATATTATTACTTTGCTTTCTCTCTCTTTCTCTCTCTCTTTCTCTCTCTCTCTCTCTCTCTCTCTCTCTCTCTCTCTCTGTCTCTCTATCTTTCTTTCTCTCTAAATGTAGAAATGAAAGTAATACATTTTCTACAATAAAAATTACACATAGACGTAATTCTATCAATAAATATTACACTACAGACAGTTAGACAAGTTTGATATTATTCTTGGCAGACTCTATTACATATATTACGATGATATAGATATGATATCTTCAGTATAAGCGAACTTTCCTTTCTAAGTTATCCTGGGCCGATTTTCATAGTTTAGATATTTGGATACGTTTTGAATAGTGACGCTGAGGCTGGGGGGGAAAAACTTGTGTACTCTCTCTATAATTCCCTTTTTTAACAGCTTTGTGCGCTATTAGCGACAGAACTGCAACGGTTGAGGAGTACTCAGATTATATTAACCCAATGTGGGTAAGTTGTTAAGAAATCAAAATTTCACAAAAAAAGTTAAAATGTAAGTAAAAGTGATCAATTGAATTATTTGTAATTTGTATTATGAGTGTACATCATAAAAATGATTTAAATTAATTTTAATGTCACAGAGAGGAATTTAATTAATTACCCAATTAGCACAGAATGTTTAAAAACATTTTTTAAACATTTATTTAATTTTTTTACTTTAAATAAATATTAAATAAAAAATATGTTTTAAATATTTTTTTAATATTGTATGTTGATTGGGCAATACTAAGAGTATTATAATGTAATTCTTGCAAAATGTTAATATTTACTATAGAAAATTTTTTCTCATTTATCTAATGATAGAAATACTTTTTTCATTTATTTTTATCAAAATTTAAAGTTTATTGGTAATATAATTAGTTTAAATAAAACTAAAAGATTATTCATTTCCACTTAAAAAAAAAAAAAATCTTTTTAAGAACGAATTGCCTATGGTTTCTTAAAATTCAACTCACAACTTAATTTATCACTAATTTTTAATTCATCATTAATTTATCATTAATTTTTTTTTATCACTAATAAAACTTCTTTTCGTTAATTTTTTTTATTAAACTATTTTATTAAACTATTTTGAAAAAAATTTGTTTTTTAATTCGTTTTAATCCTCTCAATCTCTTTTTACTTATTGGAAAATATCTTTTGTTGTATAATTTTTGGACTTTTAAAACATAAAAGGTTGGGCAACGAGCCAGATATAAATACAACAAAAGACTAATAATATAAGATTACAAACGTTTCGACTCTGACTCTTTTTGGATTTTCTCATTTCGAAAATTCTTTCTTTTCAGTCTTTAAATAATCGCTTTAAAAAAAATTAATTAAAATGCATTACAATCCGAGATACAAGGAAAAGAAAACGTCGTATTAGAAATTCGAATGTATATAGATATAGATTCGCAGGAAGTGTATAAGTACTGAGGATTAAATATACAGAAGAAACGAGAAAATATCGTCGGCGGAAATATTGTATCAAAGAATTGAGTCCCGTTTTTAGATATTTCTTAGTGTACTCTCTTCAAATTATATTAAATTTCATTTTACGCTATAGTGATTTTGTCAAATTATTCTTTTGAAAATATTTAAAATTGTTAAAGAAATTTTATAATCATTTAGTCAATACAATAGTTGATAAAACAAATTGTAAACGGATACATATCTTTCTTTTAATGAAATAAAAGTAAATAAGAGTTTATAATGCACATTCTGAAATTAACACGTACAATTTGTATGATTACTGGATGCTTCCGACCGCAATCGTGGACGTCTTTGTTTAAATGGATAATTTACGACATCTACAGATTGTATGTAATTAGCATGATGTATACTTTCACATTCTCGCAAATAGTGGACATTGTTATAAATGTTGATAATCCTAACGATTTCACTAATAATTTGAATATGATGTTAAATATGTCAGCTTCGTGTTATAAGTTTTATATCGCCTCTTTAAGTTACAAAAACATTGTTACATTAATTAATTATCTTACTGAAGAACCATTTAAACCATTAGATTTGGATGAAATAAAAATTCGACGACAATATGATAAAATAATACGGTAAATAAATTTTTTTGTAAGAATAAATTTTAAGCTTTTACTAATATAAATCTAAATATTTTTTTATTTAGTATTAAACATGCAATATTTTTAAAAATTTATGTAAGATTACTAGATTTTAATTTATTTTTAAATTAAAATTTAAGATATTTAAAATAAATGCATACATGTATTTGTGAATAATTTAATAACAAAAAGTGTAACTCAATTAATAATGTATTAAAATAAAGCCTAATTATTATCGCAACGTAATTAATACTCCGTGATAATGAATGAAAATGAAATCATTCTTAAATACTTAATATTGAAATTTATATGTATTTATATGTATTAAAAATAACATATATATAACAACTCTTCAGTCGCTTTCTAGAAATAATACTTTGCGCTACACGATCATGATTGCGACAGCATGGACATTTATGACTTTGATGTCGTTGCTCACTAACTTCAGACATAGGAGGTTAACATACAGAGGATGGATACCATACGATTATTCGTCTTATATAAAATTTTGTCTTACATATGGTCAACAACTATTAAGCACGTTCCATGGTGCTTCCATAAATGTTGCTTGCGATACTCTCTTGTGCGGGTTCTTAATGCACATATGTTGTCAAATTGAGATTTTGGAGTATCGCCTAAAAAAACATTTATGCAATCAATTTAGTCTGGGCTATTGCATACGCCACCACAATCGAATTTTTGAGTTAGTTATCAAATATACATTAATCAAATACATATTAATGATGGAAAATTATATAGGGATGTCCCATTTTAAAGAATTCACGAAAACACTGCATTAAATCGAAAAATATTTCAGATGAAAGTTTTTTGATTGAAAATATTTTAGAAATACGACAGTATTTCCGAGATATTTCAGTGGGTCTTTTGAAATGGAACAGCCTATATTTATTTTATTTAATGTTACTTTTATGTGTTAGTTATTGAACAATATTGTGATAGAAGTATTATATTTTTCTATTTTTATTTATTGCAAAGATAAAAATATTAGTTCTTATATCATTAATCTAAAATAATTAAATAAATTTTAAATTTCTTAAATGTATAACCTATTTTGATAAACAACTTATTATCACTGATTTTAGATATCTGTTGTCGCACTTATTATAGATATTTTTTACTAATATCTAAATTAATATTTTATTAATATCTTATTTGGTTTATTTTAGATATATTTTATAATTTTTCATAATTTCCTGTTGCAACAATTTATTAAAAATTAGTTATAGTAATTAAATTTTATTAACTTAAAATATAATAATATTACAATACTTTCTAAAAACGAATTTGATTGCAGATTTGCTCAGATGGTGAATACAAGATTTACACAAATAATTGGATTTCAGTTTATGGCAAGTACAATGGTAACATGTTCTAATTTGTATCAACTGACTAAGTCAACTTTAAATGCAGATCATTTTGCGTTAATAATGTACACATGTGCCACGGTAATACAAATTTTTGTTTATTGTTGGTTTGGAAACAAAGTTAAATTAAAGGTATCTTTATAATGAAACACATTGTTGGATATTAATGAAATAAGTTGTTGAATAAATAATATATGTATTAAACATTTTCTTCTGTAGAGTTTGCATTTAACAAACAGTATTTTTCAAATGGAGTGGTCAGTTGTAGAAAATAGTATTAAAAAAAACATCTTAATAATTATGAAGCGTGCAATGATACCGATTGAAATTACTACTGTACATATTCTGACTATAAATTTGGATTCCTTCGTAGCGGTTAGTATAAAAATTTATTTTAATGCGTTAATCTTAAAATAATTAAAATAATAAAGATACATCAAATAAAACTATATTGTTGTTTATTTAATTACAATTAGTTTAAATAATAAAAATTATGCCTATAAATATAGTATGCCTATAAATATAGTATGCTTATAAATATAGTACTCATAAAATTTTCATATATAAATAATTACATTGGCGAATTTATAAGTATAAATATTTTTATAATAGTCTGAAATGTTTTTATTATTTTAGTTACTTAAAACATCATATTCTGTTTATAATCTATTGGTACGAATCCAAGAATAATAAGAATGCAGAAATAGAAGAAGATTTTGGAATACTGTTTTATTGAAATAACTCAATAAATATTCATGTAACATTAATACTTTTTGTGCAAGTTTGTTAGCCATAGAATGTATCAATTATAGAGGTAAAAGTTTTTCAAGAATACAAAATGTAATTTATAAAAAATTGAAGATAAAGAAAGATTATGGTTATGGAATAAAAGGGGAATATGGAACACTAATACTATTAATAGTATAGAGTATAATTTTATACATATCTGATATATGCATTCATTTTTTGTTAATTTAGTTTAAAATTTAGTTTAACTATTATATCATTTAGAAGCCATATTCAAGGCCTCCAAATTAAATTACAAAATAATACAAATTAATAATTAATACAAAAAACAAAATAATAAACAAATAAAAAACAAAATAATAATTAATACAAACATACTTCTCAAAATTAAATAAGCAGTACATACTTGTAAAACTCTTGTCTACACTATCTGCAAAACTGACAATGCAGTAAACGCCACTGACCAATGGCCACACTATAACGTTTAAGCAAACTATGAAGAAGTAATATTGACACTCACCAAATATGCAGCTCAAACTATACAAAATATTATAATATTCTATAACCGCCTATTAATTCCATAACCACTTCTTTTCTTTTATAAATAGAAAAAAGTAAACTTAATTTAATATATAAACATATAGAGGAAAGACGTCTATTATGAGATACCGAATTCATTTTGAGTAAATGAATTTAGAAGTCTATAGACAGAATTTAAAAAAATAATAAATCATTTTGAAGAGAATTTAATAAACTTTAAAATAACGTTACATAAAATTTAATTCCATTTTTTTTTTTAATTAAAGAAATGTAAAAAGTAAACAAATTGCAAAAAATTGTGCTCCTATGAGATGTCCCGAGAAATCGATAGTAAAACGCAAAGTATATTAGTATTACAATTAAAAAATTTTTAATTTATTTAATGTTTCTAAAATACAAACAAACACAGTCAGCATGCGCGAAAAATGAGTATGCGATAGATTATATCAGAATTCGTTTTCAGATAGTTGGAATCAAGTATCGCAAATATAGGCACTCGACGTTCATTCCGGTTGTCTTTTTTATTATTAATAACATTTATACTTTAGCAACGATTTTTACTATAATATAGAAGCATGAGTTATTTCATATTAGGAATATCCTGAGTATCTCATATTACGATTTCCACATCTTATGGTTTTACGATCATCAAATCTATCTTCTGTAATTAAATAGTTCAATATGTCTCGTATTTTTCTATTTACGATGTTACTCTATCAATACATGAAGAATTTATTGCCAGATATTTATTAAATAATAAACAAGGTTTAAATCTCATCTCAATAAAACTTGAAGATAAATTCTAAAATCTTGTTTTACAGTGACTACAGGCATGATCTAATAATGAATTTTTTATTAAATAGTTTTCAATCCTAGCAATAAATTTATGGCGAAACTAATAGATAGCATTTATTTAGCAGAAACATCACTCTCATATTAGGTGCCTATTTCATAATAAGAAAGGGAGCTTTCCTCTAATTGTAACAAAATTGCAATAAGATAATTATTTTGAAATAATGATATTAAAATGATGTTAAATATTATTGTAACTGTAATTGTAAAAAAATATATAAATATGTATATTTATCGTTTTCATTTTCAATATATTTTTGTGTACCAAAGGATGTGCAAGATACAAAATCTGTGTTCGATATAAACGTTTGACTATTCTATACAGATTCTTTCTACTTTAATATAATATAAATAAATTTTATATTTACACATTTCAATCTAAATATGATAAAATATGACTTATCTTAGTGAAGAGTTTTGTATAATACTGTTTTATACAAATAGTGATACAATATAAAAGGAATTACCGTAAAAAAAGTACACATGTATTGTGCATATGCATAGAACATAATATTATCAAAACTTAATCGTTGTCAAGCTTTTCGAATTTTTCTTCTGAATGTTTGACTATAGTCTCACAAAGCATAGCTTTAAACTACTTCTATTTCATATATATTGTAACAATCAATATTGAGCGATATATCTCGTCTTCTAAAATTGAAGATAATAAATGAAATATCTTACATATTGACAAGTGTACAAGGCGATTACGTTTTTATGTTTTATTAATAAACTTTTAAAAATTTATTGTCCCATCTTGATTGTATTACAATTGCTCTCCATCTAGATGTAAAAAATGAAAATAATATGTCTCTTGTATAATAAAAATGCAATAGAATTGCAAATAAAAGTAATTCTACTAGCTATCTTGCATTGATATCATAGTATTATTGTATCACATATTTATATTACATAAAAATACAGATATTAAATGTGCAGAGTAAAAGAAATGTAAAAGAAATATCGAAACGAGAAATATCATCACCATCGAAGAAACACATCACATGTCTATAGACATTTGTTGGTGCACCCTCTTGAAATAATATTACTTGATTCTTCTTATCATATGATAGAAATTTTGTCAAATTAAAGTTAGAAACGTATCGTTGTGTATATTATTCAAAGATTTCTATTGAATTAAGAAAAATTGGCAACACACATTATATATTCTAAATTTTATATATATATATTTTTATTTCTTAATTAAACAAGAGAATTAATAATGCATATTTTGAAATTGACACGTACAATCATTATAGTCGCTGGATGCTTTCGACCATTTTCGTGGACATCTCTGTTTAAACAGACAATATATAATATTTACAGGTTATATGTAATTAGCATGTTATATTTTTTTTCAATGTGGCAATTTATGGACATTGTTTTAAATGTTGATAATCCTTATGACTTCACTAATAATTTAAATATGCTTTTGACTTCATCTGCTGCATGTTATAAGATATTTATCGTGTGGTTAAATTATGAGAAGATTGCAGCGTTAATTAATTGTCTTATTGAAGAGCCATTCAAACCATTAAATTTGAGTGAGACAAAAATTCAACGACAATACGATAAAATAATACGGTAAATATATAGCTTAAATAAATATCTTAATTTTAATTCTTTTAATTTAACATTATTCTATTATAGTTTCTTTTAATATTGTATATACGTATAAAAAGAAAAATTTAGAAAAAAATATTCAAGATTGTGAATTGTTCTAAAAATTTAATTTTATTATCAGAAATTTAATATATTTGAGAAATTGCATAGCAAATTTGTGAATTTAATAATAAGTTAATTTAAAGAAATTAAATTATAGTACTATTATTTTTAATTATAGTACTATTAATTTAATTATAGTATTATTAAAAATAGTACTATATACTAGTATATAGTACTAGTAATAGAATGTAGTAGGTGTATTATTTATTATAAAAAATGAATGCGTACAATTACTTAAATTATTAAAGCTTAGAACTTGTATATAACAATTTTTTCAATTATTTTCTAGAAATAACACATTACGTTATACGAGCTTGATTGGAACGACATGCTCATTCATTGCCCTCATGTCGTTATTCACTGATTTTAGACACAAAAGATTAACGTATAGAGAATGGGTACCATATAATTACTCGTCTTATATGACTTATTATTTTACATACGCTCAGCAAATGATAAGTACTTTCCATTGTGCTAGCGTAAATGTCGCTTGTGATACTCTCCTATGTGGCTTATTAATGCATATATGTTGCCAGCTCGAGATCTTGGAATATCGCTTAAAAAATATCTCAAATAATGAATTTACTCTGGGTTTTTGTGTACGCCATCACAACCGAATTTTAGAGTTAGTTACCATATTAATGCCAGAAAATTATTTATTATTTAATATTGCTTTTAAAAGTATTTTTTTAATAAAATGATGATAGAGAGATCGTATATTTATCTTCTACTTTTCCATCCGTACTTTTTACGATTACAAAGGAAAAAAGAAAAAAAAATAGAACTAAGATTTTATAAATTAAGCAAAAAAGAATATATACACTTACATACTTTATATAATCGCTAAAATATTGTACACATTGCTTCCGTCATATTGCTAGTTAAAATAGATATTTTCATTACTATCTTATTAAATACGTTAATTTAAATTTAATTACAAGTTAAAAAAAAGGGCTACGAGCCAGAAATTTGTCAAAATCAATTTTTTTTCATTTTGTTTAATAACATTAAAGATAAGAGACATCAATTTTTCTCTCATCGCATTGTCTATTGCATTTTATTCATATTATTTTTTTGGACTGAACTCTCAATTACAATTATGAAATCTGTTATATTTCGTTCTGGACATCAATACATAATCATATACCGACGTTCTTTTTTTATTTTATATAATTTTACTAACAAGACGAAGATTCTTTAATTATTGATACCAACAGTTTGATGTCTTGACATTGCGAAATATATTTTCTTTTGTCGTCGACTGTTCATAGTATAAGTTTTTACTTTTCTGATGAATGTATGTATTTTATGTATGTTACTGTTCCATTTAACTAACAAGACGAAGATCCCTCTTAATTTATTGACCATTATATAGTTAACAACCATTATATAGTTATTCAATGCGAAGTATATGTTCAATTTTTGATCGACTTTATGTTATGTTTTTTTATCGTTTATTATATTTTGTAAACATTAATAATGAGTTGTGATCGAAACGTTTGTTGTTGTTATTAAATTTCATAATTAATTTATTAAGACATTTTTTATTTATCTACCAATTTTATAGATCAAACTTCTGGCTCGTAGTCCCTTTTTTTTTAATTTACTTTTTAAATTATTGAGTCATTATAATAATTATATAATTTTAAATTTAATTTACAAATATTTTATAATTTTTATGTTGCGGTATATAATAATAAAATTCATTTATGAAGACATATACATTATTAATTTTATGCATGAGTATTATAGCGATCAAAAATTATATTGCAGATATGCTCAATTAGTGAACGTGAGATTTACAAAAATAGTCGGATTTCAGTTTATGGCAAGTACGATGGTAATTTGCTGCAATTTGTATCAATTGACCGATTCGGCTTTGAGCGCAAATCATATTCCATTAATTATGTACACATGTTGCATGCTGACACAAATATTTATTTATTGCTGGTTTGGAAACAAAGTCAAATTCAAGGTATATCAAATAAAATAAATTAAAGTCGCTAAATAAAATATTTTACATATTATTCTACAGAGTCTTCAACTGACGGACAGCATCTTTCATATTGAGTGGCCAATTTTAAACAATAACATTAAGAAGAGTCTCTTAGTAATTATGAAGCGTGTAATAATACCTATTGAAATTTCTACTGTATATATTCTAACTATAAATTTGGATTCTTTTGTGGCGGTCAGTATAATAGTATAAATTTTATTTTAATGTAGTTAAAACAGTTTTTGAATTATCATTTAATGAATTCTTGTGTTTCTAATTACAATATATTCAAATAATAAAAATTGTTTTATTTATGATAAAAGAATTTAAAAGTATTTTCATACATCATTACAAATAATTTGTAAACTTGTTTATAAAAAATTAATAATAAATTTAAATATAATAATATATTTATGTTACATGTATAATAATTTTAATTATTTTTTCAATATTTCACAGTTGCTTAAAACATCGTACTCTGTTTACAATTTATTGGTACGAGTGCAAGAATACTAAAAATTGGGAAATAAGTAAAACAAATACTTATCTTTATAATTAAAAAATGAAAATAATTAATATTAATTATTGTTAATATCTTAGTATTAAATAAATGTATACACAACTTTTTATATTTGATAATGATTTTTATATTATATATCAGAAGAAACATAAAAACAAATTGAAGTTTAACATAATCATCTAACACATATTTTATATTTTAATGCTATAAAAATATATTATATTTATTTTGTTACAATCTGACATAAATGTATTATCTTAAATAAAATGTTTTATTTATTTTATTTTATAGAAAGTAATTAAGAAAATCGTAGTAAATCATAGTATTAAAAAAACAACAAAAGGGCAACGCCTAATGCATATATTTCCGCAACATAAGAAAAACTTAGAACTTGTTCAGGTTACGTTCCGTTATTCACTATAAGTACTGAAAATCTATAATATACATAAATTATAGATTTTCAGTACTTGTAGTGAATAAAGCATATTTTCATCTATTTCATTATAATATTACAAGTGCATTATAATATTACAAGTGCATATCTTTAAAGAATCTGATGTGATCCTTTTATCTGATTATGTTAAACGTAAGAATTAATGTTAGAATATTGTGATTCTTTTTGAACAATAAAAGGTAATATAATAAAACATATTATACAGTGCGCGCGCGCGATGACAGATATATGTGTAGGTATTAAAATATATACACATATTGTCAAGGTCGCATCTCATATTTTATCTTATATTTTATGAGTTTTTGAAGAACTTTTTCTTTTCTTTCTGTTGTTATTTGTTTTCTATCTTGATATAACAAGAGAAATCTTCTATATAATGAAAATTGAATGTAAAAATAATTTTTTAAATATAAAAATAGTTCAATTCCAATTCTTCAATTGTGGAAACAATCCAAAACAGTTATTGCAACTTACAGATATTAAATATGTACAAGTAAGAACATCATTGTCGATTTATTAATCTAAGTGTAAGAATAACAAAAATGAAAAGATAAATAAAGTATTTTTTAAGAGATTAATTGCATAATAATTATATATATATATATA